TTAATAGCGATAGTAGTGCAGACTTTATAAATAGTTGGACAGTGTTGAGGGAATTATTTGTTTAGCAGAGTGATGGCGTTCGGGGGAAAAACTGTCCTTGTGTCTAGTTGTTCTGGTGTGCAGGGCTCTATAGCGTCGTTTTGAAGGTGGGAGTTGAAACAGTTTATGTCCAGGATGTGAGGAATCTGCCAATATTTTTCACAGCCCTCTTTTTGACACCTGCAGTATACAGGTCCTCCATGGAAGGCAGGTTGGTAGCCATTGTTTTTGAATTCAGCTTGGCATCTGAATCTGGCTTTATCTCCGGCTACGAGCAAGGTTTCTTTGAGCATTGCTTAGAGCGGGGTGCGCAGGAGAAATCGGGGGGGCACCCCAGTTCTTGCTGTGGAAAGACACCTCCTTCCCCTCCTCTCTGCCAGCCTTGGGACCCTTCCACCATGCCCAACGGAGGGGGGGGGGCTTCTGAAATCCAATTTAGCCGTTGGGACCAAGCCCGATCGCGCCCACTTGGCTAAATTCCTTGGCTAGCCCAGCCACATCATGTGAAGTGTTGGAAGCTTCCCTGTGTGGCTGTTTCCAAAGGGCTGCCTCTGAATAGAAACACACGGGGGGTGGGGGCAGCTGGGCCCAGACAAGGGGCTGGTTGTTGTTTGTTGGGGTGGTGGGTGGGACAGCAACAGCAGAAGCTCTGGGTTCGGGAACCCGGCCAAGAGATGTTTGTGGATGGAGAGGAACTGGCGGGGGGGGTCATGACCTGCCTTTCCTGGATTAACTAGGCGGTGCAGAATGTGCTGAAATGGAAGACACCCCCAGCATTTTTGGAGGAGTGTGTGTGTGTGTGAACGAAATGCTTAGGGGTCAACCATGAAAAGAAGCTTTTTTGCTGGTGCTGCCAAGGGAGTCTTGAGTTCCTTCGCTGGTCAAACAGCTCCGGGAAGCGGAAGAAAAGGATCCGTGGCTAAGCATCCACAGCGGACCTAAGCTTCTAGTCCTCAAGATATCAAAAAGAGGAAAAAAAGAGAGGCTGGCACTCCCCCCTGCTGGCCAAAATCGAGTGGGTTTCAAGGGTTGGGGTGTAGGAGCTTTCGATGACTCCCTTAAAATCGGCTCATCATCTCTGTCTCCATTTATTTATTTACTAGCTCGATACCTACCAAACTTTGTGGTCGGGCTTAGTTTTGGGGGAGGAATATAAGGGGAGAATTGTGCCTCTGCCTACCAGCAACCATCGGTGTTCATCCGACTAGCGTCCTGTCAGTGTGTGAGAGAGTTGAGGGCTGTTTGGAAACGGAAACAATATTTGCTGTGTGAGCAAGGAGGAGACAGCAAGGAGCCTGGGCGTGGCTTAGCTCAACTGTTCTGTACTAAAGCTGCTTGCTGCTCTGAAACTAAAACTGAAACTCCTCCGCTTGTGTTTTGCATTTGGAAAAGATATCTTTTCAGGTAGGGAGGGGGAGTAGAACTCCTTAGCATCAGAGCGTGTTAATAATAATAATAATAATAATAATAATAATAATAATAATAATAATAATAATAATAATAATAATAATA